AAATGTTCTTGTTGTAGAACGGCCCATCCAATGCCAAGTTGTTGCGAACCAATCGCTCAAGCTCATCGGGATCATTTGGTGGCTCTCTGGAACGTCGTGGCAATGTCGATCGGGATCCTTCATCGGTCCCAGGCACATCTGAAATATGTGGAGGCGGGTGATCTGGACTCCTTGGGGCAGGTCTCGAAGAAATTGGCCTTGATGGAGCTGGTCTCGAGGATGGACTTCGATCTCTTCCCAAGCTCCTCCCTCTGGATGATCTTGGGTGTCTCCATGGGGGCAGCTTGCGACTGTAGCTCGGGCTTCGTCTGCGTCTTGGTGGTGATGGAGGTGTAGGAAGACGCCTTCGTCGCAATGGGCTCCTGGATCTCCTTTCAGCAACTATCTTCCTCTGCTCAGAGCGAAGATGTCCCACATCAGATGCCAGGCCCCCAACGTCAGATGCAAGACCCTGCACAAGTCGTCTGATCTCTTCGAGCTGACCTGTTGTAGGATGTTCCACTGAAGCGCCATCGGCTGGAGCATCATCAACGCCTGCACGGCTGGCAGCTACACTGCCACGAGGCCTCATCGTCACGGCCTGTGTCCTCGGGATCAGATGCCTGATCTGTCCCACACTGGCCCCAACATTCTTGCAGTCGTTGCAAACTCCTCCACAACGCATTTCACCCCACATCCAAGACGACGAATGGATCAAGACAACGTCGTATCGCAAGGCCTTCAAGCACCTGAAAGCTGCGAAGCCCTGACCAACCGATCTATGGCGGCCTGATTTGCACTCCAGGTCCACCAAGATCCTTTCCTGCTGATGCTGGGTGACGAACTCCAAGATGCTATTGAGATGCTCGTTGAACTTGTCCACCTTGCTCAACGTCTCGAGGATCCTATGGTGCCAACCCACATGAGCTCTGAGACTTACGTCCTGATCAGGATCGTAAATGTCTTCACAGTTGATGGAAAGGGTGGCACGATTGGACCTCATGGCATGTCGTTGGAATCGTCGACCTCGAGTCACAATGATCACCTGTCTGTTGCTAAGCTGTTCTTCATTCAGTTTCGATTGCAAGACGTCATAGTCCCTTGAATGAAAACCAGTCTGATCGTGATCGGCCATGGCGCAGTCACTTGTCGATGCAGTGTACGCCAAGTTATACTTTCTATGACACTTTGGAATTTTGGGAAGCTCATTTGGTGGTGTGTTGATGATGTTGGTCAATCCTTCAGTCAAGTTCATCACAAGTAAACCTGATTTGGAACATCTCTTGATATTCAATGGTTGATCTTTGATGGAAATCACCCCTTTTGCTAGGTCCTTCACTAGGCCTAACTTGGTTTGCGCATGCAATGAAAGAAGCAATGGGCTGTTGCCTGTTGACAATTGATATGAATCCAACTCCCCATGCATGTTCCCGTCTGGAAGCAGCAGCGAAAAAGGAATAGATCTCACACCTTCGGTCTTGGTACTACCACTTCCCAGACCAGCAAAACTCTTACAACCGTCATCCTTCAATGGCATGCTGTAACCCAAACGGGCCAGTCGTGCTTCTGCATCGACTGCCCAGGCTTTGCTATGACAAGTGCTGTTGCAACCTTCATCCAACACTGCAAAGACATGGGATGACCTGGCAATGTCAACAGTTTCATAAGTTCATGTAAACCAAGTCTTGAGGGTATTGAATGTCACTTCCATGCAAACAAATGCCAACGTACCCAGCTAACTCCCTGCCCGAGGGGTCGCCGTGCCCATCTTCATTGACAAGAGAAAAACTGTCCTCTTCCTCTGTCACGTCATTGATGGCTTGATGGAGTAGTTCATGTAGACGTGCACGGGTCATGACCTCAGATTGACAGGTTTCGGTAACAAGAGTGGCAAACAGGGGCAACAATTCTTCCAACTGGACTGGATTCAATCCATCCGATTCTTCAACCAATGATTCAACAATGGGGACTGTTCGAACTGATGCTGTTTCAACCTTCTTGGCAATGGCAATACGCTCCTTGCGAATCTGCATAGGAGCTTCATCAATGAAAGTGCAACACTTCTTGCAGAAGGTATGGTGTGTTGATTTGCTGGATCCCCTAAAATCGGTGTCATCATGAGGGCAATTCTCAGGGGACATCAACGGTACCATGTCACGCCTTGTTGTTTCGGAATGACCGCACACAAGACAGGTCTTCCTGATGGTGTACCCCGTAGAACCTTGTTTTGTAAACTCACGACATTCCTGACACTTGTTCGGCAAAGGAGGATTTGGGGGTTTCTTTCTGCCAGTTCCCCGAGCCACCAACAAATCTCGGTGCTCGATATGCTCAACAGGGACTTCGCGCAAGTGAATCCCATCAGCACCAACCACAAAGTATTTGTCAACCCAATTCAACCATGTGACATAGTATGGACTCTTGGGGGTATGTTTCTTGGCATGATGATAGTACCCTGTCTGTTCAAACAACACATTCCAAAACGACAAACCCCTGAATTGTCCAACAGGAAAGATGCACCCATGATCCTCGGGTCTCATTGTAACATCGAGATCCCGGGAAATCAAGCCAACGTTGCTGCTGGACGCTGCTGCACGTGAAGGTCGACTGCTGGGCTTCGCTTGTCGAACTGCCATCATAGCAACTCCATCTCTGTCACGATCAGGTGAAGCCGTCAAAGTCACACCATCGTCATCTGAAGAATCGCTCATGTCGGCAAAGTGGGCTGCGGGCTTTGGGGCTGACTTTCCAGGGGCTCCGGCTTTCGACCCCGGGAATTTACATTCCGGGTCACCGGCCCAGTGCCCTATGACTCCGCATCTCAAACATTTGCTCTTCGACTTCAGCTCTGTGAGCTTCCGTCTTCTCTGATCGATCGTGAGGTTGGACTTCACGATTTTTCCTTTCCCCTTTCCTTTGGGCTTCCCGAAGGATTTGCCCTTGCCACCTGCTTTCCCCATTGCGGTGAAAGCAGCAAGTTGTAGCTGGATGGCGTCTCCTGCTTGTCGATCGTCTTCTGCACCTTCAACTTCAAGCAAGCTGTTCAATGCAACTGCTTCGTACTCATCGACGTCGTCAAAGTAATCAAATTCGTTGTCACCTTCTAGGTTTCCGGGCTCCTCTTCTGCAATGTCACCAAGCATGCCAACATATGAATCATCCTCCCAGGATTGATCCACAGCTTCATCCCAAGGTTCTGCATGTTCCTCCCCATCATCGGGGTAGGCTGCATAGGCTGCTTGGGAATACGATCCCTTCGAAGAAGGTTTGCCTTTGCCATAACCTTTGCCTGACGACTTGCCATGCTGTTGAGGATTACCACGTCCTGTCCAGGATCGTGACCCTTCTCGCAAGTGAGTGCCACTGTAGTTCTCGATCAGCACCTTGCCAACACCTTCAGAATCCTTAGTGTCTGCACAGGCCTTCACAACGAGGATCTCCTGTCGATTGAGCCCACTCAACTCTAACATCAACTCTGTCCTCAAGCTGTCTGAAAACACCATTGTGTCATCCAACTCGCATAGCATGTGCCACCAACGTCGTCTCCTCTGAACATAGGAAAGCATGGGTTCGCCTGGTTGGCGAGACAAAGGACCACCTTGCTTCTGTCCTGCTCGAAATAATTCCTTGGCTTCCTCACGGGCTCTTGGAAACACATGGGATTTGATCTCACCCACAAGTTTCACAAGGCCACCAGGTTTGGACAACACTTCAAGTCCAAGATCCCTAGCTATTGAGAAAGCATCTCCTCTCAGTCCTTCAATCACCTTGTTAACCAATGGTCCACGATCAATGTCTGTCTTCTGCTTGCCGGACCTCGAGGATTTTCGGCTCGCTCCAGACTTCGGAGTCGAGACTGCTGATGTAGGCTGGGCTGCTTGAGTAGCACCCGACAAATCTGGAAAAGTAGCATACTCATCTGCATCTTCTGCGGCAGGCTCTGTTGCTGTGGTCCCAACGGGATCCGCAGGCTTACTTGTCTCCTCCTCCAATTGTTGCTCATAAAGACGAATCCGAAGGAGAGTCCTGAACTGCCAATCATGAAAGTTCGCCGCATCACCTGCATAGATGTATGAGCCACTCTTCGTCTCAAGTGGTGCCGACGAATGGCGCTCCTGATTGAAACGAAGGCCATTGATCGACATGATGCTCGCTCCGTTCGGAGTCGAACAAGGAAAAACGTTAACAAGTGTCTGCCCTGGTCAGGGTCAGACAGATTCCCGAACCACGACACACTCGAAGTTCAGTTGATTCCCAAAGTTACCAGACTCAAATTCACAAAGGGTTCCCTGGGTCACTGACGTACCACCGGATGCGGGTCGTCACCCGCTCCGCTACCAATATGAATTGGAAACGGGATCGTCAAATGCCCAACTTTTACCACGGCAGCGCGGTATGACTCAAGGGCCCTAAAGCCAAATGTCAACGGGGGCATGTGATCACTTGGCTATACAAAATATACATTAGACAGGTCAAACTCACACATTAGATAGATTGGATAGCTTAGATAGATTAGATAGATTAGGTAGATAGGTAGATAGGTAGATAGGTAGATAGATTAGATAGATTAGATAGATTAGATACATTAGATACATTAGATACATTAGATAGATTGGATAGCTTAGATAGATTAGATAGATAGGTAGATAGGTAGATAGGTAGATAGGTAGATAGGTAGATAGATAGATTAGATACATTAGATACATTAGATACATTAGATACATTAGATAGATTGGATAGCTTAGATAGATTAGATAGATTCGGTAGGTTGGGCAGATTAGATAGATTAGATAGATTAGATAGACTAGATAGATTAGATAGATTAGATAGACTAGATAGATTAATTAGATAGATAGATTAGATTAGAATAGAATAGAATAGAAATAGAATTAGAATTAGAATAGAATAGAATTAGAATAGATAGATATTTAGTAGTATAATAATTTACCACTATACTTTTGAGTCAGATTTCACTTTTCGATGATTTTGGGGGTTGCTATACGGAACGCCCACAAAATCTTTCAAATCAGGGAATGCTTGACCCATTTTACACACGGGTTTCCGGCAGCCGGAGCTCGCCCCTTGCCATCCTGGGCCCCCACACCTGGCTTCCAGTCTTGACGCATGATCTGCATAGCCGTGTTGTTGTTCACTCCAATGGCATAGCCCTGGCCGGAAATGATATGGCGCACCTTTGGACGATCAACAGGTCATGCCTGAAATTGGTAGCTCCGACTGTTCCTAATTATACGTATGAACAGGTTACAATACCAATTTTGGTTCAGAATCGGGGGCGGGAAGACTCGACATTCTGCTGATGATGATGTGTCAAAACCATCCGCCTTCCATCCGCTGAAGTTGCCAGAGGGGTCCGTGTGATAGAGCTGAAAGCCATGGTGCACATCATAGCCTCAGGCCACTGCGGGCTTGCGGTGCGATACGGGGCAAAACCTACATGCATAGTATTAGCATATGTTGGCATCTTCTCATGTACTTGGATGATCCTTGATGTTTGTGAAATCTCAGTGACATGGGGGGCACTTTTTTTGCCCTTTCCAGCCGCAAACCAGTCTGCCCAGCAGCCAGCCACCAGGAAGGAGACTCCGAAAGGCCGAAGGCCTCCGAACTGCGTATAGCCCTGCCTGGGTGGTGATTTTATCCCGGGAACATCATGTGATGTTCAAAAGGGAATCGGTGATAATCGGTGTTTCCAAATCATCAACGGGTTCCATTTTTTCAAGACTGTCATTATATAGTAGTACCAACTGTCACTATCAAATCCTAAAAAAATTATCCATCAACTGTCATTTTCAAATCATCATTGATCCAAAATGCACCCGACAAAACTCCGTGCCATGGCCGAGCCGCTTGTAGTCACAGATGGATGTAACCAGCTGCTCCACGGGCATCGGTTCCGAGAAGCTGTAGGCGTGCTGCTGGGCCGTGAGCCGAAGTCGGTTGATGAGGATGTTGGCATCCGAAGTGATGCCCGCTACGGCACAGAACCTGGCCAGGCCAAAAAATGGGCTTATAGATCATAGATAGCTCAATTAGTTACTGCTGTCTACTACTTAAATGGTCTTAAATATGCTGTTTATACATTGTTTTTTCCTGGGCATCTCGGAGGCATTGCCCTAAAATATCTAAATTCGGCCTGCTATGCCCAACAGGGACACGGTCCGATGTCCAAGGCACATGGCATCATCCAATTGGAAGAGCTTCTCGTGCTGCTTTGCCTGCCATCTGAACCGATCTGAATCTGTGAATCCGTCTGGGTGGAGGGGTACTACACCCTAGCAGTGACAGCTATAACTGGTTGGTGGTTGACCTACCCCTCTGAAAAATATGAGTCAGTTGTTTTGCAAGTGTAAAACTTACCTGAATACATAGACCTCAGAATCACTCTGCTTCCAAGGTCTATGTTAGGGCAAATTCACCCTGCCTTCAGCTCTATGTCCCAATGTCTATCTTAGTGAGCGGAAGTGGTCTTTTTTTGCTCTTGCAAAAGTCGTTTCTTTACAAATAAACGTAGACCCCGGTTTCTCGTTTCTCAGTTTTCGGGGGTCTACGTTTGTTTCCGGGAGTGTACTCCTAATTTTGTCTCATCCCATGATTGTTGCTGATTGGTTGATGGTCAAATCTCCAGTTTCAGTGGTCATTCTCCACTGGTGAAACGAGCGATGCACAATCATGTAGCCATATTTCGTCGTTGAGTCGTTCCCAGTTTTCGGGTGGGATCACTTAGAAAAATAAACAGCTATGGCTGGTGCTACCATAACTAACCCCCATTCATCCCGCCAGAAAATAGCCATAGCCATCTCTCCATGGATAGCCCATCCGTGGGGATCAACCCCTTCGATGATTCATCGATGAACACTTAGTGATTTCCACATGTTATCGCATAGCTATGACACAAATTACCAGAGGATAATCATCATATCAGCCCCATCATTCTTTAATCATGAGTTGATTAGATCATTAGGTATATCTCAGATATATTCCAATCATTACATATATCATTCTGTTCACCATCAGTTGACTCATCCCAGATCCTGCTCCAAATCCATAGTCCATAGTCCATCATAGCTCCCATGGCCCCAAAAAAAAAAGGTCAGGCCAATGGATGCCATGATATGCCATGACATGCCAATGGGAACTATGGATAGCCATGGATAGCCATGGATAGCCCATAGCGAAAATCCATGGAAATCCAGATGAAAATCTTGCCTGATCCAGCAGCTTGGAAGTGGTCTTCTTCTCTCCCGCCAGGATCACGCCATCCTCCGCCAAGATGCCCACCGTGGATCCGGCTAAGTTGATGGCCTCCATGGCGTACTCCACCTGGCATTTTCGGGCGAGACTTGAGTTGAATAAGAATATAAACCATATATACATACATCTAAAATCATATAAAATCATTATAAATATATTATCATTATTTATCATGTGTATATATATATATATACATGTATATATATATATACATGTATATGTATATATATATATATATACATGATGATGAGGCACATGTGTGTTTTTCATTCGGTTTTGAGCTTTGGACTTTAGAAAGCTGCATCAAAACGACTCGATATCTGAACTCATGGCTTTGGTGGGGCCACCGATTTCCAACCCACCAATCCCCGGCAAAAAAAGGCCTGGTAGAGGCGTCCCTCAGGAGAGAAAGTGGTGGTCCTTGAGTCATAGCGCCGCGCCATACCGGGGTCGTCGTGTCGAAAAGCGGGCCGTAGCGGAGAGGATCGGTCTATCACTTGAGCCCAGGGGAACAGCAAATCAAACATGAAAGCAGCAGAAACCCTGCAGGTCTTTTCAAAGAATCCAACTGCCTAAGAATCTTCAGATGATGGAAATGTGAAGGTTCCAAATTTTGTTTGCATCAAATTGGGCAAAACCCAGCTGCGGATAGTTGATTGCATGCGGCCATCCTCGGAATCCAGATGATAAAATCTGATAGACTATCTCCGTGCGCTTTCCCTGTTTTCTTGAATCAGTACTGTTACCTGTTGGGGTTCAATCCCAAAAACCTGATCAACAGCTGCTGACCTCGAGTGCCAGCATGGTTTCACGCTCACGACACAAGGTCGGCACGGCGAGCGATGGCACGGAGCGAAATCTCTGAGATCTTTTGGAGCCGAAACAGGCGACAGGGATGCGAGCTATCCTCAAGACAGCAAGAAAGATTGGGGATTTTACCATCAAACATCATTAGCACTTAATGGTAATGGGATCAAATGGGATCAGTACACAAAAACTAATCTGGAAGGACTTTGTGCACCTCCCTATGTTTTCATATTGGTCTGACAATCTGAAATGAAGTTACTTTTAGAACACGCAGAGCTAAAGCCAAACCTCCTTAACGGTGTGTACTGTTGGAAAGGGGGGGGCTTCTCAATGGTAAGTGGTGGGTGGTATCTCTATGCGCAAAGATGATGGAAGCAAAATAGTTGGCCCAGCATCAGATTGCCAGTTCACTGTGGTTCATCTCATACCTGCACACACACACACGGAGATACGTATATGTACAGTATACACACATGTATGATATATGTATGTGTACATGTGTATATATATATCTCTCTCTCTCTCTGTGTTATACTTAATAAAAGTTGTAAGACATAGCTGCTAGCCGTTTCCCACGTCACCCGCTGAGCGCTGTCACGGACAAGCTGATCCAACAGGCGAAGGACAGCGGCACCGGCGGCCCCACAGGCCGCACGTCGAAGAGGGTGGGGACTTTTGGCATGTCTTCCCAACTCTCGAAGACCTCCAGGAGCCCCGCTGGCTAGCATTTCTTGGCGGCTTCGTCTGAAAATAAAGCTGCCCTAAAATCCACTGATCAGTGCTATGAGTTGCTTGAGTTGTTTGAGTTGCCTTTACCACCATGAAGCAGTCTTGTGGTGAACATTGGTGAAGTATTTGGGGATGATGTATGAGGCGCCATCCATGTTTGGGAGTCAATCATTTCCACATTTCGACCCCCTACCTTCTGCTACTCAAACATTGCAATCAAATTCCACGTGTTCTAGAAATTTATAGATGGTGTTCCTATATTTCAATGCTGAGTTTTGGGGGATTTCATGGGGATTCCCAGCCATGTTTGATGACGCTGGTCCCGCAGCCAAGACACTGGCAGCTCAGGCGCTAACACCTGCAGCTGGTGACCTCACAATAATAGTGGGAAAATTATGGTACTTAACATAGAGGTTATATACATTATATCTAGGTAAATTATAATATTTCACTAACCTGAATTAAGACCATTTTGGGATGATTTCCCTTATTAACCATGATTTCCAGTGAGGTCGTAGTGAGGTCGTTATAATTTACCCGGATTATATATATATGTGTGTGTGTGCAGAGAATAATCATAATTATCCCTGATCATAATTATAAGTTATAATCATATATGTGGAAAAAAAACATGGGAAGAATGATTATAATCCATGTTCAAAAAGGGTGAATATTAAACTGAAGCTTGTTGGATCTTGTTGCTGCCTTGTTTTTGCTGATGAACAAACACGGCAATGGAAAATCCATCATTTCTGGGACAAAAAATCGATGCCTTTCCCAGCCAAAAAAAAAAAACTCCATTTGTAAGGGATTTCATGGGATTTCCTAGCCACCTTTGATCACCGCTAGGGCCGAAATTTGATGAACCCCCATTTTCGGTGCTCAACTCCCCCATCAACTGCTGGCCCAAACGACCTCACTGGTTGACTCATTGGCCAACGCCAAGCGCCAGGCAAGCACCGCGGTGAAGCACAAGGCACCCCAAATGGCATCCACCTGGGAGATCTTGGCTGGGAAATTGTACGGGTTATAACCTGTTTTTATAGATGTAATATGTTATAAGATGTTATAAGTATTTTCTCAGAATAAGGACTGTGTTCTAGTTAGGGGGTATTTAATCCCATGATATCCTAGTTCGAAGACATGGAAATGGAATTTTCGTGGGATTTTGGTAGGAGCCTCCAACTATAGTTGGCGGGAGGCGTTCATTTGCGTTCTAGTGAGCTGCCCGGAGACACTTATCTGACAGTATCTCCTCGTCTAGCCGATGGAAGCAGGCACTGATACTATTCTTGGGATATTTTGAGATATCTCTTGATTTGGACTCTGTCCATTGATTTATCCACGTGTGCATTCTTTCATGTTCCTTCATCTGTCAATCTTTGCATCCTATGCGATCCGCCAAACTTGGCGGGATCTTCCATTGCCATCTGAAAATCTCAAGTGATAGCAGGACCCCCTCAACCAATACCTGCGCAACTCAAGTGGTAACCCTGGGATACCCTGGGTCCGGAAAAGGGCCTTGTAGAACCATCCAAACCAAAAGATCTCGCGGGCACAGATTAGGACCTCACTGGAGCAGAGACGGCCAGATCCCCTCTGTCTGACAGCATCCCAGTGGCCCAGTGAAGCACCAGTGAAGCACCGAAGCATCACCAAGGCACCACGCACAAAGGTCCGGGCACCGCACCCAAGCCTTGCCTTAGGCCAGCTGCCGCTTGGAAGGGTGGCTCAGAATCTCAGGAAGGCATGACCCAAACATCTTACGGCTTACAGTAACCTGGTAAGCCCTAGAGACTCAAGATCTATTTTCGGCCCAAGAACTCATGGGTTTTCATCAGCTCTCACCAGTTTTCTAAGCTGCTGGCGTCATGCCAAGGGCGACCAACAGCAAAGTGCAGAACCCCAGGGAGCGAAACGCTAGCCCTGACTCGCGCAGCTTCACACAGCACAAGTGGTGCTGGAAGATTGCGATTCAATACCAGACATTTGTGATTCATGGGGTTTCAGGTGGGAAAAAAAACGAAGGTCTGCATCACTGTATCCAGAACTCAGATCAATGAATTGTAGACAATCGAGAATCGAGGGTAACCCTCGACGCTGTAACTATGGGTAGTGAAGATGGGTCCAGTACTAAAATCAGCATTGATATCTGTGGTGCGGATATCCAGATTGGTTTCCACCTCCCCGTGCCTGCCACCAACCTGGACCCGGTAGGTGCCGCGAGCAATGCCACGGCAGCCGAAACATCCGCGAGAACCAGGGCTGAAGCCTTGGAAATCATCAAGGCAACATTCATCGATATTTTGCGATGCTATCTGGGCTACTTATGTATGTGTATATATATATGCATATACACACATATACACATACACAGACACATACACATACATATACACATACACATACACAGACACAGACACATACACATACACATACACATACACATACACATACATATACATATACATATACATAACATTATATAACATCATATTTCATGTGAACAATTTTAATCCTTGTTCCCGGATATCTGGTTGTAGTTGCTGGAGTCCCTAACGTCCCAGTAGCCGGAGTCCAGGCAGCATTGCTGAGCAGCGCAAACACCGTTTTCCCTTGCGACTTGAGCCAGATATTTGGCGTCATGTCAGGCCTACTCCACATGCTTATACATGTGTGCAGTACCGTTTAGTTCCCTTTAGCGCCCCCCATGCCTACGGTGGCTTCGCACCGCAGGCACGAGAGTGGGAACTTTGAATTATATTGTTTGTGGTGCACGAATTACGCCTTTGTACACGCAAACCATTCAGCTCCCCCTTCACCCACACCCGACGAGCGTAGTGGATCCGGGGTTGCCTACTCTATGGCATGCAATGCGTCAGCGCAAGTTCGAGCTGTACAACGCAAATTATCACTAGCTTGCAGCTACTCTACGATTACGGCTTCGCAAGTCACCCCATCGACGACGGAAGTTGACTGCTCCACCAAGAATAGCAATTGACGCTAACTAGTGAATTCACGTGCACATTGCTAAAAAGAAAATCGTGCAGATTGGGAATAGTGAGAACATGGAACCTAAGCGAATTAGTCTACTGCCTCGCTCAGAGTCCTCTCAACTGGTCTTTTCCTGATCATCTGTTCACAAAGACGATAGACATCTTATAGTCCAGTGATCACTTGGATGGACAGAGGTTGTTGATTTACTCCTCACGGCGGACTTTCTTCCACTGAGGTGTCGTTTGAGATTTCTCCCAACCTGCCGCACGTTTCGGAGCAGCTTTCGGCGATGCTGGTTTCGCAGGTGGTGCTTTAGGTGGTCCATAAGACTTCGGCATGGCCTTAGCCTTTGGTGCACTGGCCGATGATGACGCTGAACCAGTATCTTCAGGTTTCTGTGAAGGCTGTGTTGATGATCTGGCTTTCGCGTCCGCAGCAGCACGCTTGGTGCTGGCACTGTCCCCGACTGCTTTGAATACTTCACCTACCACTTCGTCCCCCAGGTTCGGAGCCATCTTTATTTTCATTTCGGACTTTCCCCTCATCGCCTCGGACTCAGCGAATTGAATGGCGTAAGCCATCTTGCCGATGAAGTTGCGAGGTAATGGAATACCGCATTGTTGGGCAGCGAAGAGTAGTTCCACCCTTTGTTCCCTTTCTCTCAGACTCAGATATACCGAGAAAGCTGGGAGTTCAATGCAGTTGGGGAAGCCGTGGCTCCCGGAACGAAAGAAGGTGTATGACTCATATTCGGGAAATGTTCCCTTCATCAATCGTCGGAGGAAGTTGCTAATGGTCACCCTCATCTCCTGCTTCTCCTTTGCATCTCCCTGCATCTTCGTCATTGGCATGAGGAAACCTAAGGAATCGGGAGTGTACCCGGCACATATGAGAAACTCCATCATCTTTTCGTAAACTTCTAGAGTTTTGATGACAGGCATCATCATGTTTCTCGGCCGCCCAGAGTACATCAATTCTCCCTCTGACCATGAGTTCGTCTTCCCTTTCTCCTGAAAGAGTGCGTCCAATTCCTGCTCAGTCGGCCGCTTGAGTTTGCCGTCCTGATCTTCGCCCGTGTAGGGGCAGAAGTCGTCCAGGTCCAGTCGGACTCGCTTGGTGGTCGTCATCAACGCATAGTATTCCTCTGGGGTCAAAGTGACTCTCTGGTTGTAGTAGTGTCTGACATTGCGATGATCTTTGACATCACGGCATTGTCGTACAAGTGAGCCGCGGCCTCGGAGACATCATTGTTTACTAGTCCATCTCCTGGCAAACCCTTGCTTCCAGGCACGAGATTCTTGGTCCATACTGGCAGGTCGTCTGAAGGCTCTTTCTCAGGTTCGACGTTCATGTCATCATCGTCGTCCTCCTCAACGATCTCGTCGTCTTCCTGCTGAGTCTCTTCCTCCTGAGCCATTTCCTCGTCATCGCCTTCGTTGTAGTCGACTTCGTCAGGATTGAAGCCATAATCGTTGGATTCAGGTACGTTTTCCTGTGCTTGGTGGACCGTATCCTCGAACAACGATTCTTCCTGTCGGCGAACCTCCTCGTCGATCTCTTTCTTGGTGGCTTCGTCTTCATCGTCTTCAGGGGCTTGTATTCTATAAGGTCGAATTCCACAGCTCTCAAGCTCTGTCCAGCATCCTAGACATACTGCCAATTTCGTTGGCGTCTCATTGAGGCAATGAGGGCAATGACGGCAACCTGAAGTTTCCACCCTCTTGCGCTCGACGATGTAGTCGACCAGCTTGATGCGGGCGAGGTATTGTTCTTGTCCACCCTCTTCAATTAGATTGTTCCTGAACTGGTGGACGATGTTCATTGCATCCATGGTGATCTCGTCATACGGTTGCTTTTCGGCGTCGATGCATTGACTTGCGATCCTCAGAATGGACTCCTTGGTGGCGACAGTTCTTGACTTGATAGTGCCTGACCGGACTACCTGGTCGTCGCCCGACGGAACGAACAACCGGTGCCATGTCTTGTTGTTTTGATCCTTTGGATCTTGAATCCATCCTCCTCTGATCGCTGAGAACGGGATGATCTTTGGCGTAACGATCTGTCCCGAATCCGTCAATCGACCACCGTACTCCACCATCAGGGTCTCGGTCGGGATGTAGAGGCAGATGTAGTCCCCTTTTCGTGTGTCAACGCTCTTCGTGATAGTCCATGAGCGATGATCCCACGGCACGTATGGGTTGAAGAACGTGAACATACGATGACCTTCCCCAAGACCTCCAGGAATCAGTCCTTCCCTCCAAATGCTTCGAAGGTTGGTCTTCTTCGTGATGTGGAAGCAAACCGGCATTGACATGATGGTATTGGGCGCAATCGGATGTGAGAGCAACGAGGACATCAACAAGACGTCGTCTCTGGATGATCCCTCCTTGTGCCCTGTTGGAGCGCGAACTGCAACTGGATAGAGCAATAGCCCCTCGTCAGGAATAGGCGTGTCCGCGTTGACGTTGTTGTCAATGCATGTCAGGCTGCTGCGATCAATGTCCTTGTTGATCCCGAACGCCAAGATTTGTTCACGTACACGACGTCCATATCGGGCACAGCGGAACATGATCTTGAACAGCAACGCCATGCGGTTGCTCGCCTCTTTCACGTTCCATGCATTTCGATCGTTTGCTCTCCCTTTGGGGGCGAGGAAGACATGCGGCCAACGTTGGTGTTCATGTCTCCAGATTGACTCACACTTGAGTACGTCCTCAATGGGTACCCAGCCAGCATCGTCACAAAACAAGCTTTGTGATTCTGAGGCTTTCCCCACATTGTGTCGTAGGATCCTGTTCAGTGCGATGCTCACCTTGTCCTCATAGCTGTCGAGCCGATTACCGGTTTCGAAGCGATAGTTTGCCGCATACTCCACACCGCCAAAATAGAAGCAGTTGAAGAAGTGGGCTCCCGTCGTGGGGATGATTTTCAAGAAACCATCTCGCGGCGCTTCGATCCGTTTGTAGAAGGGTTTTCTGATGTTGTTGTCGGAGTAGTTTGCGAGGAACTCTGGTACTGACCAAGTGTCACCTCCTCCTCTGACAATAGCGTCCCGGACCACTTCATTGAGATCAACGATATTTTGGGGTCCCAGCTTGGTAACATCACGCCCTTCAATACAAAACCTACCATATTCATCCAGGTCTCCAACTTCGGACATAGTCCTGATGTTGTCGTACCACTGGTATTCACCAGTCCTTGGTTTTGTGGGCTCATCCGTTTGCCCTGACCCTTCCGTAGAACCTGATCCGTCCTTTCTGTGCTCAGGTGGCTCCATCTCGACGTCATCAGATGTGGGACTATCAGCCTCGAGCGACGCCCGGACGGCCTTTAGCACCTTTCTGACTTCATCCTTCTTCTCATTTTCACATTCGAGATGACCATGTTTGGCGCTACCACAGTACAAACACACATTGACATCCTCAGAGACAGTGAAGAGTTTTCCCAACGCATCCAGGAGTTGTTGTTTTCCGGAAATCTCTGAGTCCCTAACCACATCAGTAGGGTCGTTTGCTGGCTCATCAGCTTCCTCCTCCCCAGGGTGAGTCGGCGACTCGTCACCTGGCTTGGCATCAGCATCAGCGCCCATGTTGGCGTCGTCCCCTGTGACATGGTGCTTTCTTCGAAACTGAGAGATGACCTGATCTTTCTCCCACTCTGTGAGACAGTTGAAGTCATTCAACGTTTCATACCCGGGAATTGCGTGGATGATCTTCATGACCTTTTCGGCTTCTGCAGTCTGCAGGGTGCAGTCGAAAGAGCCTCGTCTCTTGTCGTTGATGGTGCTTGTAGTTCTGGAAGTTGATGTGAATTGGGCCAATGCCTTCTCCAAGCCGTTGAGGAATTCAGCAGGGTCAACGCTGGCATTGAAGACATTCACAACCCCTTTTGCCATGTTTGCCACATCCAAGACACCAAGCCAAAACTCGATGATGTCCCCAGTCTTCTCGGCTGATGCACGGGAGAATCCGAAGATTTCGTTCCTGTCCTTCACCTCAGGAACAGCGACCTGCTCGAAGAAGTCCTTGTACGCGACATTCCCGCAATCTTTCGTGACCCTGAAAACCAGGAGCCACTTCTTCGCGACCTCATCATAGATTCTTTCGCGGTAGATGCTGAACTGTTTGCCGCGTCCATTCCGGAAGATCTCCAGAGCCTGTCTCTTCGATACCCTGACTCCCCCCATGTGCGAAACAGACTTCATCAAGTGCTCCCCGTACGGCAATAAAGTGTTTGAAATCAAAGAAGATGCCGTGAAAGTAAGCCATGCCTGAA